CACGGATTTATTGTCCAAGGTACAATTTGCTAACAAATTTTTTAGATCGGATCAATATAGCATATAGCTGACATTTAAACGGACCGTTCAAAATAAAGTTCTTGTATGGCAACACTTTTCTTAATAGTTTCAGTGCAACCGAAGTTAACGCTTTTTCTTGATTTAATAATATTTTATCATTTTATTTGCTTTCGTATATAAGCTCCCAATTTTTTCACTCTATATATGACTTGTGCTCTCAACCATTTGCATTCTCTTTGAATCAGATAGAATTGTCGACTACAACCGTAATTACTGTAATCCACACCAGATTATAAAACTGATCCATAAATAGTTTCAAACGAAACAATACATTTTACAGCTCTCACCCCATCGCATGTTTAACATCAGCTAATAAGATTGCACTCCCGTTAATCGAATTGTTGCACAGAAAATGGGGTCTGAAATAATTTAACGCGATTTCTGAAGTTCTTACATACTATAAAGCGATTGAAGAACATAACCTCAATTATGGCAGATGCGCTTTAACTGCCAAATATATCAAATAAAATTAGAAGTTCGACTGTGAAGTGTTGACTATTCTGAATGTTTAGTTTACACATCCTTAGGGATAAAAAGCGACCTTAGCAGAAATAATCATGGGTTCGGCTACAAAGAAATGTGTTAATAAAAGATACGCTTAACATAGTGTGGACTTAACTTGTATGTTTACCTTGGCTTCTATTACTATCATGGTACTTCTGCTTAAATTCCTGAATCATATCCGTTAAAGTTTTTACAGGTATATCTAGTCACTATACTTAGGTCTCATACTTGTATAAAGCAATAATTTATTTTCGCTTAACTGAGAGCAACATTATGAACATAAAACTGAAAAATATCGAAGCAGTGCTGAATTGAGAACTCTTCAGCATTTATGCAATTTTTTCGCAGTTAAGGCGAAGTTTTCCTCGCTCGTTCATAATGAAAACCACCAACATAATATCACTTAAAAATATTTAGCGTCTTGCTCTGCACAGTTGAAACTCATAGAAACATTATTGTCTGGCTTTGCATTCAAAGATATATGAGAGATTTTTTTTCTGCCACTGCATCTTTTACATAAGAGAGAATGGATTTTTTTTCTGGCATTTTATTATTATGTATTACTACTTTTTGGTAGTTTTCAAAATTTTTCAAAAATTGTCTGTCAATTCTAGTAATAACTTTTGAATCTATATATATTATATATTTTATAACATAACATTTTCAGTGCAATATTATTTGTTTTTTAGTTTAGTCTTCTCGTTTTAAGTCCCTTATAAATAAATTTCTACTCTCTTTGATCGTTTTGCGTTTCTTTTAATTTTTTACACAAAACTTTAAGTTCCCAAATTGATTTAAGAGCTTTATGGAAAGTGTTTGTGTCGACTGTCATTTCGCCACAAATGGTCTGACACCCGCAACAACAATATAAGCAGACGCACTTCACAAAAACCGAAAAGTCTCCGATTCGCAAAAGGCAGCGACTATTTTGGAACATTTTTTTATCAAACTTTATTTAAAATTATTCCACAAACAACTCCACAAATGCATGCTAAATATATTTATATGAAACAGTACGATAAAAAGTACTGCATCGCACACTGCTTGGGCATAATAATGAGTGAACTCTTTCGCCGCTTATGCCACTCGATGGGCGCGAATTTAATTGAGAATCAGCAACGGAGGCAAATGAAGTTGAGGCGACTTACGAACACATAAAATAACACCAAATCCGGAGACAACGCAATGATGAAACATTCTTTTTTTACAACGCCTGGCGAGGAAGAGGCCGCAGTGAATTAAATCAACGCAGTGTTAGGTCGTTGGCGGGACGAAAGGTGCTTTAGAGTTTTATTTTATTATTGATTTTTTTTTTTTGCGAAAACATCGCAGATTAAAACTGTTGAACTGCTGTGTATATTTCACGCGCTGTAAATGGTAGTTTTGCTTACTTTCGTCGGAGTTGTTTTTCGTGCGTTATGCACGCTCATGTTTGGCGTCAACTTTAATTCACTTGATTTCGCTTTTTATTGTCACAGCGCGGGCACTCGAACAATCACCCGCCAGCAGCAGCTGAAAGCGCTTGGCAATATCGCAGCAATTGAATGAAGTTGTCGGCATTATTGTTGTTGTTATTGTTCTTACTATTGTTGTTTTTGTTACTATTGTTGTTAATATTGCTGTTGTTGCTCATCTTCAGGCATTCTTATGTTATTGTTGAGTTTTGAAACACTTCAGATTTCGAGTGTGGGACAAGTGTCTGAATAAATGGTACTAAGTTCCAGCTTTTCGTAACTCCAAAGGCGATTTTTTAGCAAAAACCAACACAGTATAACAACAACAAGGTGATAAAAGATATAAAATCCTTTGTCAGCTGCCATATTAGCAGCTCAAGAAAGAAGGCCTAACCTTATCGAAAATTTCGGTTATGAAAATAGACTGATGAGCTTGAACGTTATCTAAAAAAAAATGTTAATAAATGAAATATGAAAGGAGAGCGCCATAGCGGACATAGTTTGAGCAAAAGGGAGAATCATCGACAATGGCTGCGCGATTAACCGATCTATTAACACAATTGCTGCCATCATTTTTCGGGTACGGAAAGGAGACATAAACGCAAGGATATATATATATAGATACATACACTCATACATACATCATAAATCCATACATACATACATTCAAACATCCATACATACACCACATAAAAAATGCATGGGAATAAAACTGATATGTCTACATATATAGGTATTGAGGGGAAGAAAGAGCAATACATTCGGGAACCCTAAACAATAAACAACAGCGCATTCCCTGAAAATGTCAACACAAAGTCTCATTGCGAGTGTCCCATTGGGCCGCGGTCACTGCTGCCACACACAGGCGATATGCACATATATTATATTTATAGTACAGGCGTAAGTGTATATATGTGCACAAACATATGTCTCCATCGATCATTAGGCATGCAAACATGTTTACAAACAAATAAATGCATCAGTAATGTCAGGTCAAAACAAAAACAACAACAACTGGTATAAAGTGTCCTTTACACTACACGAAAAAAACGTGTACAGTTGAGATAAAAATCTTGTTTGTCCTTTTTCGAGTGTCGCAGAGACAAGGAACGCACAACAACACGTAACCAAAGACAATCGGGGACAAAAACCTTATAAATTTAATAAAAGTTCAGTTCACAAAGGGGCGGTGAAATTGAAACTCACGTGACATATTCGTGCAGCGGTTGATAATATTACATACAAACATTCATACTAACATACTCATTTAGTATGTATTTATATTAATATGTAGATTAAATAAAAAACCATGTACAGTAGGCACGTGATAAGCGCAAAACTTGATTGAACTCGTTTAAGAAAATGTTATATTAACACTAGAACTACGAAGATTTACCATATATCTATTTTAAAAAGGTCTCTTTCTCTCTGAAAATTGGTAGCGTAAAAAAAATAATATGTCATACTATTCTATACACAAATTCAATAAAAATCATGACATTATCATAAAATATTAAATAGGAATAGGGAGGAAATGGTATAAATAAATGATGCAACCGGTCAAAATGACCGGTTCATAGTTCTAGTGTTAAGGTTGATTTTTGGTTAATAGCTATAACAAATAGCTATAACAAAAACAAAAACGAAAATTTTTATTTCTGAGAATTACAACAGTTTATTAATTAGGTTAAATATCGCACCTTTAACATTGTACCCAGTTTTAAAAATGTCAATGAACTTTGAAGTATCTTCATAATTCTAAATTTTACAGTTATTTTACGATTTGAATTTTTTCATTTCTCATTTTTGACGATTATTAAATATTTTACTGGACTATTTTGGTTAATCACTATTTTAGATACCAAAATGTCAAAATATATAACTGTATTTTGTATATAAGGTCTCAAAAAATCTATAAACTTTCAAACACGATAGTGTAAATGATGGGAAACAGAGACCCAAAAATATTTTTTTAACAAAATATTTTCTCAAAACAATATTTTTTCTCACATGTTTCAAATTTTCTTGTTTGCTTTCAGTATACAATTTTCCTTAAGTTTAAGATGGTAAAAATGTCACCACGCCCCTCCTCTTCCTCTTCACGACTTCAAATCGTCCGTAAGTTATTTTTCCTCTAATTGTTGTTATTTTATCTTTCGTTTTCGATGGTTTTCAACTTACTCTGATTTCCTTTCACTTTTTAACATTTTCAAAGACTATTAACAGATCAAATTGTTGAGAGTTTGTTTAGGATTATTTAATTTTCTAAAACCATTTAAAAAAAAAAACACAATTTGATATATTTGAATAATAAAATAACATAATTTGTTCAAAATAAATTTAATTTTTATCAAGCGATAAGTTGCGATTAACAGGTGCCTACTGTATATACATATATTCATAAAAAGAACTATATGTACGTACATACATATACGCACATGCATTTGCATAGTTCTACGTAGATATTTATGAATAAATAAATGTTTGCATGTAAATCGCTTGCAATTGTCACCCAAATACAGCGGTCGCTCCCAGCGGAGCGTTGAAAAAATAATAAAATTTCTCAGGAACTCGCATGCCAGCCGCTCAATTTGTGTCTTTATTGCGCTAGCGGAGGTCAATTGGTCGTTTTAAGTTCAACCAAAATGGCGATTTTTCGGACACATTTCTATCTAGCTGTATCTCAAGCGGCCAAGCTTATTTGTTTGAATAACTTAATATTTGCTTATTTACGTTTATTGATTGCATTTGCTTTTATGTGCTGTTCGCCTAGCGCCACTCCATATTTGTTTACAGTTATATGTACATAATAGAAAGGTTCTTTATTTTTGTCTATACAATTAATTCAATATTTTTTTTTTTTAATTTAGCCACTATCTTTACTAGCTCAACTTAGCAGTTGCCGATTTCAACACTTCTTAGCTTTATCATAAATATTCAGGGGTGTTGGTTCAAACTTACCATCCTTTGGTGGACTCGAACAGGGCGGCGCATAGCTGCCTAGATGATAGCCGGAATATGAGTTTTGATGCATTGGCGGGAAGGGGTAACCTAAGGCGCTGCGTGGACTTGGAAATCCAGAATCTTGTCCACCTTGTGGTCCGAAATGTTGATAACCACCGCGTATGCCGCCGTAACTGGAAAATGAAAATACGGAATATTAGCAATTTTAGTAATTTTTGAAACAGTACATAATTTAGTTTTATAAAATTTATTTTCAAATGCAACAACGACATTTTAAAATAAGTGAGTACAGGTTAGTTGAAAAAATAGTTTGAATGGCTGTTAGAAAAATCTGCTCTCAATCAACTTATTTCATAAAAGAAATAAATAAAATAAAAGAAAGAAATAATATTTCACCTATAATTTATTAATTATTATAATTAACTGATTTATATTACGAAAAATAAAATTAAAATGAACTACTTTTTTTCGAAAAAAAAATTATTTTATTAAAAAATAATTATTTCTATATATCAGAATTTCAAGTTTTTGAAAGCATAACTCAAATGAACTCTTGTACCCATAAAAATTGTAAGCTTTTAGTATATCTCGTTACAGTTATAAAAATACTGTTTATGTGTTTCGATCCTATCAAAACATATCGCTTTTGAGCAAATATAGATTGGAACCTTAATTCTTCTATTCATCAGACTATTCCTCGTATTTTTAGGCTATTTCTAAAACTTAATTTTTATATAATTGAATAAATTTACGTGGAAACACTTTCGAATTATTTAGATCAAATTGCAATGGAGGAAACTTCCTTAATTTCCAAATATTTTTAAGTATGTATTAACGAATCTAAAAAACTAATATTTTGTTCATTCATAATAGCTTGAGATTCATTCTTAGCTTCGAAGCAAAAAATATAAAGGAAAATTTATAAAAGATTACATTCTAGATACCGAAGATTAAAACTAAATTTTTTCATTATGATTTTATTCAAGCAAGGGCCTTAAATGATTAAAACGTTATACCAAATTCATTAAATATTAAAAAAAAAAATTATTTAAACTTGTTTATAAAGCCGTCGTTGTTATATTACACAGAAAAATATACTAAATATTTAAAATTTCAATCTCAAATTCACAAAGTTTCAAAAGAAAAGTCTTATGAAAAGCTCTGTGGAGTTCTTAGTACTCCGACGGCAGCAAAAACTAAAATATCTCTTTTTGGAATTTAAAACTTTAATACGTTAAGTAAATATTTTATATAATATATATTTAAAACAAGAAAAAAATTTTGTTTCCGAAAACGGTGTGTAATCATATTTTTCAAAAAAAATGCAAAAACTGCTTTTACTCAAATTTATATTCAAAATTTTGCGCATTCAAATTTCAATAATTTGGTGCCAAATACAAAATGTCGACTGAATTTCTTACAGAACTTGTTTTAAGGCGTGTCGGCACGACAGTAAAGAATTCAGCTGTCGACGAAGCAAAAATTGTATGTAAAGTTATACATATGCGAATCACACTAAAAAATCTTGAAAAATACAACTTTGCGTGTCAACGTTTTGTATGTTGTTACAATAGAAGTACAAATATTAATAAATATATATTATTATTTCATATACATTAACGTATAATTTTTCGTATATTTGTTAGATTATTTTTCAAACTAAAACTTTGATTTAAATTTAAAAGCAATTAAAGAACAATAAAATAGCGCTCTAAGCTACATACTTAAATGCTTAGTTGAAGTTCCGCGCTAATTTTAGGTGTGCGTCTTCGCTACTGTTCTGCAAATGGCGGCCACTACAGATTCTAAACTGTTTAATAACAGTTAGATAATTTTGTTAAAAAAATTTTATGTACTTTACTATTGAGATCAACATCTTAAAAATAAAAATTAAAAATATACCTATATACTATAATAAAACAAAAAGAAAATAACTTTAATGAAACTCGAGTTTCGTTTTTGTTTGAAAAAATATTATAGATCTACATATATTTTCTATACTAAGAACAGGGTATTTTAAGTTTCCTATGAAGTTTATAACGCCCAGAAAAACGTTGAAGACGCTACGAAGTATTAATGGTATATAAAAGATCAGTGTGACAAGCTGAGTCGATTACGCTGTTTCTGTCTGTTTGTCAGTTTTTGAGATATCATTTTGAAAATTTTCACACTTCCTTTTTCTTTCAAGGAGCTGCTCATTTGTCGAAACTGTCGATAATGGACCACTATAGGATATAACTGCCATACAAACTGTCCGATCAAAATGTAGTTCTTATACGGAAAACTTTTTTATTTGATGAAATATCTTCCGGTAATTTGACATAGAACATTGAGATCGAAGTACTCTAGCATATAGCTGTCATACAAGACAAGAAGCTTTAAATCAAGACAAAGATCTTTTTACCCTTTTATGTTATAAGAAATGTGCACCTATGTGGGGTATTATAATATAATATATCCTCTGCGCAGTTGAAGTTAACTTTTTTCTTGTTTTTTTTTTTTTTTAATAATATCAGCTTTTATTACAGCCGAGCTTCGAACCATTGAAAAAACTATTTTCAATCAAATAGTATCTCCAATAACGGCTTTTACTTAAGCTTAATACCCTTATAATTTAAGCAAGATATATCAAATTATGTACATAAGTATATATATATATGTTCATATATAGTATATGTTCATATATAGTATTTAGTTAAAATCTACCTTATTTCTATATAAATTTCTTTTAAATACAAGTCACTTTATAACGCATGAATTTCCAATAAGAATTGTCTTTATTTGCTGTTCTCCGATTTGTAAACAATAAATTAATTTATACTAAACTACACAAACTTTTGTTCCGCCGAGTCATTGAATATTGAACTTTTCGAATAGGCAATATCTATATATATACATATATGTATATATCTGTCTACTGAAAGTTATACTATTTTCCTTATAAATACATGCATAATTTAGCAGCCAACTGAAACTTTATTATGACTTCATCAAGCTGCTTCTAAGCGACATTTTTACAAGCTGCTTGCACGCTTGGATTGATTGCCTGCCAAACAAAAGTCAGTCTGTGATTGTAGCGAGAAATCAATGCATTTTAAGCACGAAATCAAACTTTTCCATATGTACTCACATATACGAGTATACGCACTTGTATTTCATATATCGTGTCCTTTCCAACTTGTAAACTTTCGACTTCGTATTTGCTACTATGTCTTTTTATGAATTAGTAAATATTGTGCTAACACCTCGCATACATAAAACAATTGTGGGCGTGCCGAAAAAAAAATTCGGTTTACAAATGACAGGGGGTGCTACAGCTAAAATCGCTTACAAGAAAATGTGAAACACTTGAGTTGACCACAAGTCAACGTCATTTGGCGCCCGCGCGACAAACAGATTGAGCACAGGTGGCGTTTGTTGTTGTGGTTTTCGGTTTTATGCGCCTTGCGAGGTATACAAACGGCGTATGTGTTGTAAAATAAAAAATAAAAATATATGAATGAAGCATTTCAAAAAACATACCAATAATAAATAAAAAATGGCCGCTTAGCAGTGGAAAAGCATAAAACGGCGATAAGTTTGAAAAGAAACAGCCAACAGCAACAATAAGCGGCAACACTTCAAGTCAAACACATGACAGTCAAAACTACAAAACTTGAGTGGCAGATACATATGTATATATATGTACATATCTATATACATATATGTATATATACACTTATATGGCAATATCTACAGAAGATACATATGTGCTTACATATATACAAATATATGGGTATTTGAATATATAAAACCGCATGAGGTCATTAATTTTCGTTTGCTCGCATGTTTAGTTTATTGATTAGACGCTTTTTGGCTTGCTATTCTGACGTCTCGCGTAATGACGATTTACAAGCTCACATTTATATAACCATATGCACAGCACATTTACACTCTCCCGCCATTACAATGCCAGCGCGTCATTTGAATCCTGTTTGTTGTTTGCGCTGTCCTCAGGCTAGCTGCCTTTTGGCGCTGTCATTCGTTTTTTAATATTCTTTAGTTTTATGTTCAGCTTGATGCGGTTTTCATTTATGTTTGCCAAAAAGTAAAATTATGAAAACACGGAAACGGAAGCGGTTACCATGCAATAGTGGCGCGCACGCACACAAATGGCCATGGCATGTGTTTGTGTATATACTTGTATATATGTATGAAGAGAAGCATATGTTGGTATTTACGGTAGATTTATATATATACTTATAAATCTATATCTCTACATATTTACTAAATAAATATATTGTGATATGCTTTTGCATTAGCCAGCAAACACCGCAACGGCCAAAGCAATCGCTTGTTGGCCAATACTTTTCGGGTCCGACCCAAAATTCACAAATTGTCTGCTTACGCCGTATGACCGTAACACAATATCATTTGCACATTATATACCTACATATAATATATATATATATACATATGTATGTATATATAGTAGATGCCATATAGCAATATAAACTTTTTATCTCCACAATTTGTTTATTTATATTGTTGCCTTGTAGTGTTTATGTAATACAATTTTATTATATTTATGCTTTTTAATAGATTTCACTTTATCTTAGGCTGACTACAGTTAATTTGTTTTTACAACAAGATTTTCATTATTCAAAAATATCAAGAAGATAAAACGGACTCAAGGAAAGGCACTTCACATAAAATTATTTATTTTTATATAAATTTTTTTATAACCTGAACAGTGTATAATAATTTTGCGACGAAGTTTGTGTACAAGCAGCTTTTTCTCCCATAGAAACTGCTCATTTGTTGAAACCGCCGATACTGGACCTCTATAGAATATATGTAGCTGCTATATAAGCTGTTCGATTAAAATCAAGTTCTTGAAATAAAACTTTTTTATTTGACAAGATATCTTTACGAAATTTGACATGAATTATTTTCCAAAGCAGCGCTATATTCTCCCAACATATTGCTCATATCGGATAACACTAACATATAGCTGCCATACAAACTAACTGAGCAAAATCAAGAAAAAGATCCTTTCATATCCGTCTATGCTTTATAAAATGCACGGTGTAACCGAAGTTAATGTTTTTCTTGCTTTTATAAGTAAAAATTCTAATCTCACTGATTTACAAAAAAAACTATTTTTTATTATCGTTGTTATCTTTTTTTAATG